TCTCTGAATCTTCTAAATGTTATGTTCCGTAGATGATGAAATGCAAAAGTTCTTTGCTATTTTATGTTGAAAAAAAGTTACTCTTGAATTATTATTATTTGCTCATCCAGTCTTTCACAGAGTGGTGAACCCCTCCTCACCTTTTCTTCTGAAAGACTCAGCCTCTCTGAGATGCTCTTTTTATACCCAATCATGTTTCTGACCTGTTGCCAATCAACCACTAGGTGTTCTTTTAGCATTACACAACTTTACCAGTCATTTGTTGCCCCAGTCCCAACTTTTTTGGAACATGTTGCTGGCATCGAATTCAAAATGGGCAAATATTTTTCAAAAAACAATAGAATTTCTCAGTTTCAACATTTGATACATTGTCTTTGTACTATTTTCAATGAAACATAGGGTTCAAATGATTTGCACATCACAACTTTTTTGGAAATGGGGTTGTATTAAAATTTTCACTAAATGCCACACAGCCATTAACACAGCCATTTTTCCTTCAAATAAAAGCCAGCAGTGCATGTGCTCCATTAGCTCAGTTGTTAACGTGCCTATGTATTTACAGGTGTATGCAAAAGTTTTAACACCCCCAGTATGGTAACATTTTCTGTTGATTTTCTAAGGTAAAATAAGCTACAGAGAAAACACTTCTTGTACTGCACACTTACTACTTATTCACTTAATTTAACAAATTGGAAGAAATAAAAACAAACTGTAGCCTGGGCAAAGCTGTTTTTTTATTTTACTACAGTTTAATTATATTACAATTTAAATTTTATTGTTGCTGTCCAATAAAAAGAGACACAAATGTCCTTTTTTATTCTAATTTTCTGAGCAAAGCAGCTTTCCTTTACATTGTGTAAAATTTCTATGATGAATGGACGGATACAAACGCTTTAAAAGTACTTGGAATAAAATCTCTTATATTACATTAAAATTAGAGAACGTGTTTGCCTTCTTCTGTAAAGTCACCCTTTGAGATACTTTTTTTAACAGCCATGTAATATGTGTAATAATAGAGTGATGATGATGATGATGATGATGATGATATGTTAAAATCAGCAAATAAATAGAAATTGTGCACTAACATTTGTAGAAAAATGCCATTTTTAAAGTGTGTTCTCTGTAGAGGATGTGTTCACTTATTTTCACTAAGAAAATCAACAAAGCATCGAATTTCACCAGGGGTGTTCAAACTTCTGCATATGACTGGATTACACTTCCAGTTTTTTTAAAAGGTAGGGGCTTTTATTTTAAAATCGACTGAAATGTGACATTTTAAGTGAACAGTGTAGAGAACAGACTGCTAGGTATTTCCTATATTTTTGTTCATCATATTATAGACAACAACCGCGACCCTATCTGGACTAAGCGGTTAACGATGATGATGATGATGATGATGATGATATTATAGACAACAGTGGGTTTTGTTGTGTGTTTCAGGTACAGTGCCTCCCTCTGCTGGTGTATCTGTGTGTTTACTGAAGATTGTGCTATGTTCCATTATTCTGACCCTCATGCTGTCTGCAGTCATCACCGTCCACATCAAAGAAAGACTGACCAAATCATCTTAAAGACATGGATGGTGTTACACAGTTTATTAAAGCTGTGGATGTGTTTTTGTAAGTGTAGCCTAAGGGCTCAGCATATAGTGTATCTTGAAGGCATCCATTCTCAGACAGCAAGGGGATAGGGGGCCACTGGTGGTTAAGCAGAGTATTATAAAATTTCACTATTTATTGCTCATTTTTGACTCACAGCCCAAAGAATTATTTATTTTCCCTTCATTTCTTTTTGTTATACTTTGTAAATTAGTTTAGTGAATAATTTTACAGCTATATCATAAATAAAGCCAGTTATACAGCTGTAACCAACAACACATTATCAGCAACAACATTTTCAAAACATATCATTTTGTATTAAGCCTAGTCATTTTTTTTCCTGCAAGTAGTTTGTTTTCCATAATAAAAGACTGTATGCATTTAATATCTGTTTGAGGAGGTCAAAATCTAGTCTAGACACATTGTTGTCTGAGAGCAAGAAGAGGGCACAGAGCCATTTGAGTGCGAGGTGAAGAGATATATAGTGGATTGGTTGTGTCTCTCACATCTGTTTTACCACCTGAGGGTGGAGCCTCCGCTCTCCATGCAGGGGGTTCCCCCTAGAAAGGAGATCTGCCCTCCTAGAGATCCTTAAATCAACACAAAAGATTCCTTTTCTTTTCTTTCTTTCCTTTTTTTTCCCCCACAAAAAAAGATAACAGAGACTAAAGACAGACTCAAGAGTAGAGCTTTTCTTTTCCCCTTTTTATATATTTACGCTGGTGAATCCTTCAAGAGAGGAAAACACTCAGAAGTCAAGACTAAAAGACTTTTTATTAAATACTGGCTGAGTCAGGGCAGCATGTCAGCAAGAACTCAAGACTAAGCAGAAAGCAGCATGTGAGCACCCCTTAAATAAGGTGTCCACAGCTGTCACCACTCAGCCTTAATTAGCCCTTCCTGCTCCCCGGCTCCTCCTAGTGGCCGGAGGAGTCCCTGCAGGCTACCTGAATGTTACACAACTGCAGTTGCACTGTCCCTCTGAACCAGGACATCATGACTGCAGAGGAGGGGGAGAAAGTGTTTTAAAGCTGGAATAATGCAGGGTATTAACCTTGTTAATTTCTTAAAATTGTTACTTATTACTGTATATACAATATGTATGTAAATAAAAAAATGAACTAAAGATAAAAAATATAAACTCTGTCCTATAATATCAATATAAACATAACTAAAATCTTTACACTATAAGGATATTTACAGGTTTTGCACATGGAATACTGTACAAGACATGCTGCACATGAGGTGTGATTATATTTCACATGGGAATGGTGATGAATTCAAAGTTAATTTCTGTAGGCATGTAATGTCTAACAGGGGTGGGGGGGGGGTTCTACTGGGAGCAGTGCTGGTTGTACAGTCTAACAGCAGCATGACTTCAAGACATGTGCAATGCACTTATGCACTTCAAAAACTGTGCTAACAAAACAGCATAAGAGGGCCATTCAAGAAGACCTAGAACTCCACTTTGCACATGTTCAGAGGTGAAGTGGTTGGTATAGCGTAGTGGGTAACACCCCTGCCTTCTACGCTGTAGACTGGGGTTCAATCCCCTGCCTGGGTAAGCACCCTACTCTATACCAATAAGGGTCCTTGGGCAAGACTCCTAACACTACCTTTGTCTACCTGTGTAAACTGATCAAATTGTAAGTCGCTCTGGATAAGAGCGTCTGCCAAACGCCGTAAATGTAAGCTGAAAGGAGAGAGGAGCAGAAGTGTGCCTTGAACATGTATGTAGGAGAACATGGGAAGTTTACATGTCCAACCACAGAACAATGGGATATCATCTTGAATTTTGAGCAAGACACTGGGCCCTATGAAGGAAGTGACTCCTGATATGAGCAAGGCAGAGGCCTTGGTCACCTGCATCATCCCAAGCATTGCAGTGCTGAAGATGCTGTTGGTCCCACTTCTGCAGGGATCAGAACATTCCAGGAGACAGAGTTGCAGAGTTTGGAAAAAAGATTTTCCAAAATGTTTGAGATCAAATGTTTGATGCTGGCAACACTGCTGGACTCTAGATACAAGGCCCATGTCATTGCAGCAGAGAATATACCTGAATAAGGGAAAACAATGGCTAAAATAGGAACAAGCCACTGCCTCTAGGTCTGAACAACAAGAAACCACAACTGGAGACCAAGGATTGAATCCTGCACAAATAAGGACGGAGGAAGAGAAACCCTCTGGTTTTGTTGACCAGACGTATGCAAACATTCTTGGGGCTCACAGAATAAGGACAAAACCAGTGACAAACTAGCTCAGCAAGGAACAGGGAGCAGTGATCCAGAAGGGGTTTGTGACAAACCTACAGAATAATCTTTGATTTGGAGCTACAGTGTCATATTAATTTATCTTAAAAAAATGTGTCGGTTCCCAATGTTTGCCTATAAGAGTTGATGAATATCATTCTCACTTCTCATCATGGTTTGGTTGTTGCATTAGCAGGAAGACTGTCAGCACGCTGGAGATGAATGAGGGTAAGACAGTGACACACGGATTTAAGTAGTGGAAGCAAATGAACGCACCTCCTTTTGAGCATGAAAGTAGGATTAGATTAACGCAGTATAAACAGTTCTTTAAATCTGAAGGTGGCACAATCATCAACCAGCTCACTTAGGAATAAACACCAGCATATTAATTTTAACAAGTTATAATGCTCATTATTGCAATGTGTGCAAAGCGAGAGACATGGGTTTATATAGTTTTATTTGTTTTTGACTAGCAAGAATGTCCAACTGCAGTTTTCTCTCTGTTTTTGTAGCCTATGTCTGTCTGTGAGATTGAGATTTACCCCACCCACAAATTTGTCATGCTCATTTAAAACAGCAGTACTGGAATGAGAATGTCTCTGGCGACTGCAGAGGAGCAAAGCAACTGTGTTGGAGTGAGAAACTGTAATGAAAGCTGTGTGTTGCTGCATTTGTACAGTACTGGAGCTCATACAGGGGTTAGCAGCTTGGTCTTGCCAAGTCTTCTATATATTGTGGCGTCTGCCACTTGCTCCCCGTTTCAACAGGGGCTTTAGCGGCATGGTATGCAAAGCTGCGCCCACACTTGCCGCCACCCCCCACCCCCCTCCATTTAAAGGACATTTCTTGCTGTTGTTATTGTTGTTGTTAACGGTGTTTATTAGCTTAAGATGTGTTCATGTGTTGCTTAACATAACTGTGTTTTATTGTGTTCTGCTGTGAGCGTGGTTGTAATGGTCAGCTGATGTTTTATGGCTAGAAATGACCTTCCTCACTGTTTTCCCTGCAGTTGTTTTGAAGTTGTTTTCATCGGAATATATATATATATTCCGATAAGTCTAAGTGTAGTTTTTAGGTGACTACAATAAAACGGAAGTATGAATAGTGATACCAATGTGTGTGTGTGTGTGTGTGTGTGTGTGTGTGTGTGTGTGCGTGCGTGCTTGGACGTCTGGATGTCATGGAAGATTCTCGAGTGAGGAGAAAAAGCAGGAAGAAAAGGAAAAGGAAATGAGAGACAGTGTAAATGACCATTCATGCAGAGTTACTACTGCGTCATCTTGTGGCTGCAGGACGAGAGCGGGTGTGGCGGTCCCGCAGCGCGAGGACGCTGGATAGCCTGGAGTTTTTCACTTTCACTTTCAAATTCTCTCAGTTTACTGTTGCTTAATTGGAGAGTGAAGCTCTCAGAGTCACAGTTTCTCTGTGTTCGCTTCTGTGACTGTTCTTCTCCACTGAAGAGCGTCTCTGGTGTTTTATGGTGAGGAGCTGGGTGGGCGCTTTTCTGCTGCTTGCATTTGCGTAACATCTTAGTTTAAGAGAAAAAGCTAAACACTTCGTCAAACTTGCACGCAGGCGTGGGGGGTGTGGTGGGAAAGGGTGCTTCCAGCTGTGCTTTATCAGCTTCAGCATGACAGTATAATGACAAGCTGTTTACAGTAAGTATATTCTGTATAATGACTTTATATTATTTACTGTCTTGTTTATGTTTCTTCATTTGTTTTCTGCTCCTTAGTTTAGAAACTCCCTCACATGATGGCGATGGCAGCGCAGATGATCTTTGTTTTCTTCAGTTTGGTCTCGATCACAGGTAAAAAAAAATTACTGCCTATCACATTATAGAGCTTCAACTGTATTACATCCAGTGATCATCTTAACCAGTAATTAGTCGTTATTTGGGAAAGTAACCATTCATTTATGAAGTGTTGAACAGCTGGTCTCTGAACATTGTAGCACCTTGGAAGTGTCCCAGCATTCCTTGCTGTTTGGCTAGTTCTGTCATCTACAGATTCTGTCACTTTAGTTTTTCTTTGCTAGTTTGTTTTAATCTTATTCTTAACCCGAAAGTACGAGTGAATGTAATGTTATGCACTTGTTATTCCAACCATGATGGTGTTTTGTGTTGTGGTTTACTGGTTCATGAAGAAACCAGTTTCACACTGAAACAGAGACTGGATTACTGCCAGATTTGCAGGCATTAAACCGTTTAATGCTGTCATGATTAATAGTATGATCGTACTGTTGGCTTCATTGGGACCCTGGATAATAACACACTTTGACTCAAAAGTAAATAGCTTAAACTATTAGACAATGTTGGGGAAAAACACAATTATATTTTATTATAAATTTTATTTTATATTTTATTCATTATGAAAATTGAAAACAATAGAGTGTTATAAGGTCTTTCCCTGTAAGTTTATTTTTGGCTCCAATGCAAGGTTTTCTAGGTAGAAACACAACATTTCTGCATGTATATAAGCCCATTAATAGTTCATAACAATAATAATGCATTTTATTTACATAGCCGCTTTTTTCAACTTTACAAAATCCACAAACAAAACAATACCAGGCAAACAAATTAGCAAAACAGAAATTTGGAGCTGAATTCAGTCGCAGAGCAGTTGTGGCTTGCCGTTCACGCTGTATCACTCTATAGTCTACATCTGAGTAGTTCAATAAAACTTCCTTTTCTATCTGCTTTCCTTTGTTTTGCCTGATCTGTAGCTCATAGACTCAGTAAATACACTTCCTAATTATTGAGTTCAGGTGTTCAGGAAATGGGTTTAGAGTATTTTACTGTAAAAATATTTTATATGGATTCTTAAATAATGTAACAAAAAACAAATGCAAACTTCATAAAATACAAAACAGCTAAACATAATGTACTTACATTACAACGTAACAAGAACATAACCAAATATTTTTGTCTCTCTCTATAGAGTCCAGTGATGTGTTCAGATTGGTTGGCGATTCTGTTCAACTGAACATACAGGATCCTGTACCGGAGTTTGATGACTTATTCTGGGTTTTTAACAGAACTGAAAATGTTCTAAAATATTATTCTGTTAAAAAAACTAAACAGTATCCTGCTTATGAAGGCAGAGTGGAGTTCAATGAGGAAACCTACAGTCTGACACTGAAGAACTTACAGAAGACTGATAGTGGACTGTATGAAGCAAAAGCAGTTGGTGCACAGTACAGAGTTGTTGCTGAGTACAGAGTCTCTGTGTTAGGTGAGTCTTACAGTTTGAGATACAATGGCAGGAAAAATGCATTTCTGACACAGCACTGCTACTGTCAGTCACAATCTTACATTCTTCTATCTTTTATTTAACCACTCTGCTGCTTATTATTAATAACTCTGCTGAGTTCTAAGGTCTTGTTAATTAGAAAGGACTGATCATTTTAAAATTAACTAGTGATGTTCAAAGAACATTCATATTGAGTTCCAATACAAGCGTCTCAAAATAACATATTTATAAATACAAAGTAAAGCTGAGCAGTTTACAAGGGAAACTCTAGTCAAGTGATGTTTTAAGTGAGGTTGTTGCTCTCCTTTAGCTGAGGACAGCACTGCTCATTTTCACAATCAAGATTGCACCGTAAGCTGTCGCAGGTCCTTGCTAGAAAAAAAAGCGCAGATCAGACCAGCAGCATGAATTCCATGCTGGTTTTTCCAGCAGAGGCAGAACATGTACAGACAAAATGTACTTTTTAAATGCAGTGCAGGGACGTGAGAAGTGAGAGTGCTGACGTTGTGGCAGCATTAACTGTTTGTTAATGCTATTTTTCCATTCGAGCACAAACTGGCGTAATATACTTTCTGCACTTAAAAATCATCTAACATCATAATGTTTTTTGTTTATTTATTTACTTACTTACTTATTTTAACATATATATATCCTGCTTGCCATGACACAGACAGGCATAATCTGGGATATTTTTAATTAAAATGTAAAATCACATAAAATATTTCCCCACAACTCTGTTAGCAGATGAACTAGCACACTGTTGGCTCTCTGTGTGAAATGCTGTGACTCTGGGTTGAGCTGCTAGTGAGCAATGAGTGGTTAAAGGGGAGGGGTGAGAACCCCCTCCCATGAAAACAATTCATGCCATTGCATAAAGATGGCTGTGCCAAGACAAAACCAGCAGCACAACTGCAGCTTTCTTCATATCAAAAAATTGACAAATAAAATATAGCATTTAAACACAGTAAAAACACTTTTTAAATGTTGGTTTTCTTGCTTACCTTTAAAGATGAAAATAAGGTTCCCTTCCATTTTGTGAAGTGAACACATTACCATGAAAAATAGGGAGTAGCTTTATTGAAGACAAAAATGCAGAGTCTCTAAAGGATCTCCAAAACAGGCAGAAATTACATTTTATGGTTCCCGTGAAAATGGGGTTAATTAAACTTTTCGGCTATTTAGTCTTTCTTTCGTATTGTATGTTATGTTTGCAGCTATTATAAGCATCATTGGTTTACTGAAGTGCTGCAATATTATTATTATTATTATTATTATTATTATTATTATTATTGTTGTTGTTGTTGTTGTTAAGTAATCATGTTTGAGTCCAGGCCTCTAAGACAGTTTATAGGACTTCACGACGTCCTGAGACAAACAGATACTGAAGTCACTAATTCATAATAATCTCTCAAACTGATTTACTGTTGTCTGGCTTTCAGACCTGCACTGCACTGATCTGTATGTATGTGTACCTCAGATCCAGTGGAGGCTCCAGTCCTGACTTACCACCAGTTAAGCAACGGCACCTGTATCATCACTCTCACCTGTAGAGGTCATGACCTCTCTATCAGCTCCAGCTGCTATAATGAAACCTGCGAGGAGGAGGAAGTGACATTACCTGCAGGCGTCAACCTTTCCCTGTTTGTCAACAGCAGCACCATCATCTGTAACCATAGCAACCCAGTCAGCTGGAAGAAGGTTGTTTTGGAGATGGGAGAACTTAAACGACTCTGTGGTGATAACGGTACACACACACACACACACACACACACACACACATTCTCAAACACAAACACATTCTGTTATTTAAACACATGAACTGTTAATTAATAACAATATTTGAATCAAATTTGATCTTAGCTCCTTTCTGCTCTATTTTATTTTATTTTATTTCACTATTTCATTGCAGCTATTTTATGTGATGTTAGTTCTTTTACTTTTCTATTTTATTTTTTTCATTATTTCATAGAACAACTTTAAGAGATTTAGATTTTTTATGGCTTATTTTCTTAGTTGTTTTGTTTTTATTTCTAATAAAATAAAAAAAACAAACTTTCTGATTTGGTTTTTGTTTTAGTTGATAAATTTCATTTGAATATTTTTTTTTCAATCCCTGTTTAATTCGCTCAGCTACACTGTAAATAAGGGTCAACCTCAATGTATTTCCAAATAAAGGTTGATTGATTGATCTTTTTCCCCCATTAGGAAGTAAACGTGAAGAAACCCGTGGCCCAGACTCAGGTTTAACAGTGCCTGTCGTGGTTGGCGTAGTGGTTTTCATCATTCTTATTGCTGCCTTCATCGTCATATATCACTACCGGAAGAAATCAAGAGGTATTGACTTTTTGTTTCCAGTGCATGTTCAGTGTGAGTGTAAACAATCATCATTATCCTTCTTCACAATTTTATGTCAGAAAAAGAAAAAAAATTGCATGTCAAAGCAGCTGTTACTGTTAGCTGGTTAGTTAACACAGGCATGTACAGAAAACTGATAAAATGAAAACTATCAATCGAGAGTCAGTCGGGGGTGGTGGGGGGCGGTCTCCTTTTTAGGCACCCAAGAAACCATCTTCTGTTTTGCAAAGTATGTCATTCCATTTGACTATATGATGTGTTGCTGGTGTTTGGATGTTTCATGAAATTACACAAAGTTGAGATGCTTGCAACTGTTGCGGCTGAGTTGCAAGTATAATGCAGGATGCTTTAGTTTCGTGTAGGTTTCAAGTAAATAAAGTTCCATGAAAGTTTCACAGTGTAAAGGCAGCCTAAGGCATCTGAATTCTGCACCAATAGACAACCTTCTAACTGTTCATTTGCAACAAACAACTGTTTAGTGTGAATGTAAACTATACGCCTGTCTTTTTAGCTCTGAATTTATCCTAAGCAGCCATTTCATTCACTGTGGTAGGGAAAGTCTGTGGTTGTTTGTACCAAATTTCTCAAACCTTTATGTAAAGTATTCATATTTGCCTTTTACAAATAACATCAGTGTAGAAATCTACTGCTTGCTGACAAAACAGGCAAGTCTGTGTCAAATACAGTTTGACAGTTTACAGTTTAAGTTCTGTTGTTGCAACCTGCCAAACTTCAGGTGTAGATTTTAACAGTAGGTGGAATATAATATAATCTATTCATAAGAACATTTTTGCTTCCCTTTATTGTTTTAAAAATAAATGCAGAAAACAAATAGGGAAAAAAAACTGAATTTGTGTTGAACTTCTTAGTCCCTCCCAAGGGTTTCCAAACTTTTATAGCTCGCAACCCATACAACCGACTGCAAATTTTAATAAGTTGCTTAATTGAATTAACTTTTAGTAAATATTACATTTTTACTCATGAATAATGAATTTTCAATCGTAAAAATGTCATTTTCACATGTATAAAGTAAATTCCTTTGTAAAAGTCTTTTTAAATTGAATGAAAAATATGATTAAAAGCTAAAACCGCATAAAATATAACAACACTAAATATAATTAGAATCTCAAAATTTACTACAATCCCCCTTCACTTATTTAGATTACAAGCTAAATCTACTTTCCACACACTGAAGGGGGATTTGCCAAGCATTGTATGTAATGCAAGAAGCATTTTAAGTACAGTCACAGATGTGTGAGAGGAAAGAATGTTTTCCTCTGTTAAACCTAAATTTGCATGCCTTATGGTATAAGTTCATGGCAATCTGAATTCCTGCCGGTGTGCTCATATAACAGCAGTTAAAAGTTGTGCCATGATCCTCTGTCCAAACAGATCTAAATGACCTTTTAAATAGATTGCTTATTTAGCTGAGTGGATGTATAAGCATAATTGAAGATGACTTGTATCAGTACCGTCACATGTAAATGATATAAAAGTGTGGCAGCACCTCACAACACACAAGTGGTTAAACATGCCAGTAATTCTCATTTATGAAGGAGCAAATCTGTTATTGCCACACTATTTGCTCTCACTATTTGCACTATTTGCGTCACAGTAAATCTGCTGGAGCCCACTGTCTCTAAAGACACCTGGATTTTATTATAATGGTATATATCTGGCTCTTCATGTGTTGGGCCTGTTCATTATTCTTTAGGCCCAGTATGTTTTTTGTTTTTAAGGATAAGAGGACTGGTTGGAATTATTTATTTCCCAGAAGCTTCAGGTTTGCACGTAGTCCATTTCAGAAGACCAGCAGACAAAGATAAATAAGATGTATCTGTAGTCGTAAAACACAGAAACACAGATATTATGTAGCAGAATAAAACAGTTATTGTGCAAGTGGATTATCTTATATCTAATCCCCTCAGAAATATCTCCTGTAAAATGAATAACTTGTGCTTATTGAAAGTATTGCAATGCACTGTGTTTAATTCTGTTTCTTTTCTCTGGGTGTTTTGTTTCTAGCAGTATCTGAGCTCAGGACTGGCTTTCTCTCTAACCTATTTGTAACTAGCAAAGATACTTTCTCTAGATAGACAAAGTACTTTTTGTAAGTCACGCTGCATAAGAGCGTCTGCTAAATGCTGTAAATGTAAATGTAAATGCTTAATGGCTGTTTTGACCAGAAACTAAATAAATGAAGAGGGGTCTCTGACTTTTGCACAGTGCTGTATATGCATTATCCTTAAAACTGAAAATGTAAGAAAAGTACATATTTTTGTGAATACAGTTCTGCTCTAATGGAAAGCTCTATAAGGTTATTTGCCAACTCTTTTATGTCAAATTGGTTTACATTTTGACTTTGATTTATTGCTATAGTCCTTTTAAGGATTTCATTTGACCATTTTTGATTAAACAATGTCTGTAACTTATAACAGTAAGTAACAATAGTTATAAAGTTATAAATTAACAATACTATTTATTCTGAGCCAGTCCTTTAATTTTGCAGTACAGAACCTACATATGTAGTTGCTTGGAATCATACTTGGTTATTGCAAATACTACTTTTTATTCATCATCAGTCATAACTTTGCTTGAAAATATTCAGCAGCAATCTACCTCAGAGGAGCCCAGCATGAATAACAGCTATGGATCAGTTCCAGATCAGGTAAGGAGAACTAAAAGCCCATTCATTCAATTAAAGAGCGTTTAGAGTTTAGAAGCTTCAGTGTTGTTATCCATACAAGAGTTGTACATTTGTTGGTTGAGAAAACCTGCAGACATGTTTTATGAAATGATAATTCTCTGATCTCATTATTGAACTGTGAACTCTCTGAATGTTAATTAGTTGTACTTGTTTTGTGTCCTTTTAAAACCATTTATTCTGCAGTATCACAACCCAGCAAAGCTGTGAATCAAGCCAAATTGGATGAAGCTGCATCAGATGTGAGAAATGAAAGCTGGCACACAGTTGGCTAAGAAGATTGCCAGGGATTTCACGGCCATCTCATGGTAGTCCACAAAAGTACAACAGGCCCTTCTGTAATTGGGTGGGAAAAATGCTGAAGACAGCCAGTCTATGAGTCTTAGGTGATGAATACAGAGCACAGGAGCTTTTTTTTCAGGTATTTTGGGGGCGTTTTTTGTTTGGATTTCTGTTAATTAACCCTTATTTTTCTAATTTCTAAATGCAATTCTCTTTGCAAAAATGTTAGTTTTGTATCACAGCATACTCTCATGATAAATGTGAAGTTTGGATGCATTTGGAGGCATTTTTTTATTATTCTCACCACGATGGTGTTTTGTGTTCAGGTTTACCAGTTCAGTCTATCACCAGGAATGCTAACAAAATGACTAACGTGCATTGAGCTATTATGCATCATTCTAGTTTTCTTTAAGTAATATTTTTAATACTGCACAAAACAGTTCACTTAGCATAATGGAATTGTTTTAATTGATGCTAATACTTTACACAAGGATGAATATTTTATAAAAGTTAGCCTAATTCTATGGTAAATACTACAAGCTTAATGGAAAGCTTTTACATTTATTGGGCTAATTTTCATGTGCATCACTGAAAATTAGAAAGTAACTAACTCATATAGAAAGTTATTTAAACTTGAATCTGTTCTTTAACTTTACTTATTTTTTCAATGCAATCAGTCAGTAAACTACTTTAAGTTTACAGTGTAGACAGTGTGGTGCTGATAAGCAAAGAGGAAGGCGTGTCCTGATGTTAAATCCGGACCCTCTTGAGAAAGCAGCAAACTGTGGTTTAACTGAGACCCGCAATTTTTGGTGCACCACAGTTCATTTGTTCATGCAGACCTGAGTACGGGTGGAGTGTTAACACCTGTTTAACTTAAGAAAAAATTCTATTGGTCCACACAAAACAAAGCAGATCCTGATGAACCGAGACAGCTGTGGTTATAGCGCCCCCTTCATTTGCACCCCTGTAAAATTTCTGGTGCTGGCCTTGATTACAAGGTTTATATACACAGAGACACAATGTACTGCCACAAAACAGGTGCTCTTACCACTTTCCTTACTTCAGCACTTTCACAGAGATGAAAAAGAGATCTGGTCTGGAGTCCACTTGCATGGGCCGAGATGGTCCCCTAATCACTATACCCTGCACTGGAAAATCTGGATCACTATATGGAACACTATGAAATAGAACAGAATTCCTGATGGTGGTAAATGGTTTTGGACACTATGACATACAGGTTTGCTCATTACTGCACACATGAGAAGAACTGACTTACATCTGTAACAGGTCTGAATAGAGGCCTGTGGAGATGCTGCCCTCATAGCTGGACTCGCTAATCCTACTCAGAGAAGTTGCACGAGAATCTTGAAACCAAACAATGCAGTGCATTATGTGTGTCCTCTGCTAGGGTGCATTGGTTGTGCACTACAAATTACAGTGCATTATGGGATTGTTTGAGTGCAGTAAATCTTCTGCACTATATTTTCGGGCACCACTACAAAATGGTGAAACCCCACAATAACACGCTATATAGTGAATAGGGACACAGTTTCAGACACAATTCTGGATTCCAGACTCCGAACAATACTGGGATTGATGTTTACCGTTTCTGTGCTACTCTGGTCTGAATACAGGCTGGTTCCTCCAACTGCCATCCCCCTCTGGATCAGCTCAAGCCCAGTTATGGTCTTTCTTTTTTTAACACTACTGCTTTTAAAATGTTGAATACTTTTAAGTAAAATACATGAATTTTCATTCAGTCATTTAATCTGATGGCAATCCAAATCTCTGCTCTGATTCTCTGCTCTGTTAAGGCTAATAAGCCTTTGTGTGGAGATGCATGTTTTTTTGTTTTTTCTTAACTTGGAGTGTGACAATATCCAACTGTATTTTTTACAAGGGCTGTATCTTTTTTTTTTTAATGTACACTAACATGAACGATGCTCTTTGAGTCAGAATCACTTGTGAAGTTCAGTCTTCTTTTGTTAACAAGAGCTTAGATCTCAACAGACTTACTGTACACACGGTTAAATAAAGGGTTGAGAAAACAATGCAGATTCAGGACTGTGTTTTTCCATCCACTGACTGTCATTCTATCATACCTAGCAAACACAGAGAGTCTATACTCTGCAACAACTATGAATTTATCATTAGATAGCTTCATACTGTACACTATCAATCATCTGAGTTCTTCAGTGTCAAACTGTAGGTTTCCTTATTGAGCTCTACCCTGTCAATGTAAATGGGATTCTTTTTACTTTGGTAAAGGATCCTGTGTATCCAGTGTCAAACTTCAGGAAAGGATCCTGTGTATCCAGAAAAAAACAAGGATATTAAATTAAAGTTCTTTCATTATGCTGTGATAACTTATCTGTAAAACAAATTACATAATTAAAATTTATTTAAATAATTAGGTAATTATGTTTGCTCCATTAAAGTTAATAATTGAGAAAGACATTTATGCTCAAAATAAAAAGACAACCACCAAAACTATGATAATCTCTCTCCAGGTAAGGAGAGAGGACCTGCTCCAGTATAGGTATCTCAGGGTCTTGTTCAAGTGTGATGGGAAGAAGGATTGTGAGATCAGCCACAGGCTGGGCAGGCAGCAGCAGTAATGCGGTCACTCTACTGGACTGTATTGGTGAAGAGGGAGCTGAGCTCTCTGTTTACCAGTCCATCTACATCCCCACCCTCACCTATACTTCGGCTTTGGGTAATGACTGAAAGAAAGAGATTGTGGTGCAAATGAGCTTTCTTCACATGGTGGTGGGCTACATTCTACCTGACAGGGTGAGGAGCTCAGTTATCCAGGAGGAGCTCAAAGTAGAGCTGCTACTCCTCCACATTGAGAGGAGCCAGTCGAGGTGGTTCAGGCATCTGATTAGGATGCCCCCTGGCTGCCTCCCGTTGGAGGTTTACCAGGCATGGCCGAATTGGACGAGACCCTGAAGTCGTCCCAGGACCCACTGGAGGGGTTACATCTCTAAGTTGGTCTGGGAGTGGCCCACAATCCCCCACAATGAGCTGGAGGAGGTTGCGGGGGGACAGCCTCTCTGGGCTTTTTTGCTTCCCCTATTGCAACCACAACCCTAGTTGGATGAAGTGGTTAAGGAGGAGGATGATGATGATAATTATGATAATGATCATGATGATGATCGGCAGCTGTGTTAGCTTGATATTTCCATCTGTCATATGCAGTATTATGGTGCCTTCAAATCCTACTCGGAAGTTCGTACTTATGACTTTCAGAGGTCGTTCAAGTGTTTTGGTTGGAAACAAGATTGATGTGCTGGGAGTAGTACAGTTTTGTTTAGTTTTGCTTTTGCATTTATTTTGCATTACTGCACCAATATGAGGAGCAGAGGATGCTTGAGATTAATAATGTTTTATCCTGTTTGAAGCATCACATAATGTGTTTACACTATATGGCTTTTCACAAGATTTTAGAGTGTGTCTGTGGGAATTTATGCCCATTAGGACAAGGAAGCTTTGGTGGGGTCAGGCACTGATGTTGGATGAGAAGGCCTGGCTTGCAACTGACATTCCAATTCTTCCCAAGATGTGGTTGAGGTCAGGACTCTGTACAGGCCAGGAACACAGGAAGGTGTTTTAAGTTGGGGTGCTGAAATTTTAAGTCGTATATGCGTGATGTGAACGGTGATGGCATGCAAAATCACAGCAAGCATGCGCTCAATCAATCAGCTCAAGGCTTACAGAGCAGCAGGAACGGAGCAATTTGCATAGCTCCGAAGTGATTTGGAATGCAGTGGATGAGATTTTCAGGTAAGTTTGGAAAACCACTCATGTTTGGGCTGTTAAAACCACAGATTACGTAAACTCAACCAAAAACAAACGAGACTTTCTTAGAGAGTTAATGTGGAGTTAACACAACAAAGCTTTCTTCATTTCCTTTTACTGCACAGATGAATGTATAAATAGCTAACTTTAGCTTAAGTTCTTCATGTAGAAAAAGGAAAATATGTTGTTTCTGTCGCTCTCTTTCCAGCTTGCTCACTGGCAATAATCTGATTACTGCACATATTACTGGACATATTATGAAAAGAACCCATTAATTGGAAAAGGCAGTTATGCGTGGAACAGCCAAATGTAAAAGAGAAAGAGAATCACCAGAAACAAGATGGATGAACACAATCAGAGATACCAGGAACAAGCCATTAAAGGGGAATTCCACCAATTTTTGAAAATTTCTGCCTTATTTGGTCATTGATATGTCAACAAAATCATTCACAGTGGTTTGATGTGAGATGCTCTGCCAACTCAGGTTTCTTTACAGTGGTGCTGATAGGAACCAGGCGTCACAATGTCTACAACACAAATATAGCCATTTTATCTACCATCCAAAACCTCCAGGCAACCTACACCTGTTCTCTGAGTTTAATATGTGATGTTGATGATAATAAATTTGTGGTAAGTTAAAAAAAAGTTTGCATGTACCTGTATGTAGGTCTCCACCATGAATAGAGTTTAAAAATACATTTTTATACAAAACTTTGTAACACTTTAATTTAAGAGGTCCTTTTTTAGGTTAAATAAACACCCAACAGACTCTCAGTAACATTTCAACAACATATCAAAGATGTAGCAACAGTGAAAACATTCAGTGGATTATTGAGAGACTTTTAATTAACTTTGAGAATAAAATTTATTTATAATCTGCTGAATTCAGTTTTTCCACTTTATTTGGAGTGTCCAACTGTCCAGCTGTAGATGTTAATCTGAGAGCTCACTGAACATGTAACATGTTTAATACAGACCATGTTAACACCCTCAACAAGTTGCTATAGACATGCTGCTCACACCATTCTGTAAATGGAGTTTAACTGGATTAGGTTTTGGTTAAAGTCAGGGTTGGTCTTAGATTTTGGGTTGAGGTTAAGTGTAGGGTTAGAGGTAGGGCCAGGATTAGGATTATGGCCAAGGTGGGGGTTTAAATAAAGTTTTGGGATAGGTTAAAGTCAGAAGACAATATATTCATATATTGAATATATTCATACAAATATATTCAAGAAAGGCTATCCAGAGAACGCACTACCATCTACCATGCTCCTTGCCAGGGGTTGGAATCAAAAACTCTGATTGTTAGAAATTTTCTGTGTAACCAGTTTACATTGAGCAATGACATTTTTCTCTGAGGGGACTTTTATTTTAAAAGTATTCTATATTTTGCCATATTGCCCACCCCTAATTCTAAAACCTGACTACATACACCTCATAGACATAGACTCCAAGACATAAGGGTGAACGCAGCATTGTGCTACTAGAT